GTGTGTGTGTGTGTGTGTGTATGTGTGTGTGTGTGTGTATGTATTTATATATGTATGTATGTATATATATATATATGCACATGTGCATACAACCTGATACTTGTAAGATTGCACCCCCAGAAATCACATACATCCACCTGTTTGATCGTGCATACCTCGGCGTGGGAGCCCTCGAGTTGATTGAGGGAGGCTTCGCAGTGAGCGATCTGGTTGGAGTGGTACGCCAGTAGTGCGTGGTTCTTCGCAATCGCTGCACCAATACATAAGAAAACAGGACATATCGTGTATTGAGGGGCATTTCGGTACATACTACATCCAAATTGAGAGAGAGAGCGCGCGAGAGAGAGAGAGAGAGGACGGCGGTGGGGATGGTGGGGGTACACTGGCAAATCAAAAGTATAAAGACAGATCAACGCAGAGGCCAATGGGTGAAGCAAAGCTACCAGTGTGACATTACATAGGAGATGGTGTACAAAAGCAAATCAAAAGTATAAAGACAGATCAACGCAGAGGCCAATGGGTGAAGCAAAGCTACCAGTGTGACATTACATAGGAGATGGTGTACAAAAGCAAATCAAAAGTATGGAAATAGGTCAAGATGGGGGCGGCAGTATCCTTCTTCGCAACCGCTAACAGAACACAGGAAACGAGAAACGATTGGCGTTTACGAGTACAAAATAGGTCAATTTGTAAATAACAGTATGCTTCCTGGCCACCCCATGGATAACAAGTTTAGGTCTGAAATAGATCGATAAGGAGAATGTGTGTGGTTGTTGTGTAATATTGTACGTAAAGACGATAGTAGATACAGTATAAAGTCTGGGGTCTGCGTTAGGGTGATATGAACAAGGATTGGGCGATTTTGGGCGACTGGTGCGATACTGAAGAATTAAATATAAAACAAACTCAGAGTTGTCAACACACACATAAGCATAGAAAGATCAACACGTATCACATCGAACAATAAATAAGTACCCAAAAACCTTATATATGTTTATGTACAGGCACGGGATCAACCTCCCACGAAACTATATATATACATATATATAAGTATAAGTATAAGCATAAGCGTAAGTATAAGTATAAGTATAAGTATAAGTGTAAGTGTAAGTATATGTATAAGTATAAATAGAAGTGTGAGTATATATATA